CCTACACAATTTGCTGTCCACAAATGATGACTCCTAAGAGGAAATTACACGGTTTTGCTTTACTGCTGTTCGTTTCCACAAGAAACCTGTGTGTACAGTGGAACCTCGGTTGTCGAACGCTTCGGAAGCCGAACAATCCGGAACCCGAACACCAACAACCCAGAAATGAATGCTTCCATTTTTGAATGATTTTCATTTTTTCCCCATTGACTTTGCAGCCAGCCATTTGATCCTTGGTTTTTGAACTTTTTTGAAGCCGAACAGTCTTCTGGAACAGATTACGTTCGAAAACCGAAGTTCCACTGTGATGCTTAAGGCTGTGGATATAGCAACACACACACACACTTATTTAAAACTAGGGGTATCTAACTTTTTGCCCTTCATACAATTTGGGCTCTCAATTCTCATCATTACCAGCAAGTATGGTCAATGGTCAGGGACCATGTGGTCCAGAAACGAAAGACCCACCCCATATGGGTTACCCCTGGTGTAACCTAATTACTTGACGAATATCTGTCCCTGTAGCAGCCTGTCCATGGCTTAAGATGTGCCAAGAGGCTTTTCTCAATTATTATTATATCAGAGCAGATCAGCCAATGGCACTGAGAGTGACAGGATGAGTAGAGAGGAAAAGAAAACATCAAGAATGACCACGTTCTGAGGCTACTTCATGAGAGAAGGGGAAATATGCAGCTCTGTGTTCCAATGGAAATTTAACCATTTGCTTTAGTTAAAAGACGCATGCCAGTAGGTGCTAAGGAGGTCATATTAGCAGAGTGACAATTCCCAGAAGTCCCTGAGAAGAGGGATTGATAAACTACTGTGAGAACTGTGAGGGAAACTGGGGTTTCCTAACAACTTGCAGCACCCTTAACAAACTATACTTCCCTTTGGGGGAAGCCAGGACTGTTAAAGTGGTATAATAGTGCTCTAAATGTATAGAAAAAGTTGGGCAGTGAGGAAACAGCTAAGGCACAGCTAAAAGCTGGCCAACTCAGGAGGCAAATTCCTTCCAGGCCCTAATGACAGCAACTCTTTTGCGCAGAACTATTCACTAAATACCTCAAGAAAAAACCTTTCCTATTCAAAATTCTGTTTGCAGCTGCAGGCATACATGGCATATTCATTTCAAATGAACAGAGAGGGGGAAAACATACAGTTTTCAAAATATGGGGTGGAGGCTATTCTCACTGAGCAGAAAGCTCAATCCTACAGCCGATGTGTTTGTAGCTTTCCATCACCAAGGAGACAGCTAAGCACATTCATTTCAGTGCATCCTTGGGATAGTTATCGAGGAACTAAGAAAGCAGACTTGGCTGGGTGTCCTGCTCCACGTTATCCTCACAACCCCCCACCCCCCTTAAGTGGGGCTTGGCTGAGAGATGGCGACTGGCCCAGTATCATGCAGTCAACCTTCTGAATCCAGCACTATTCCCTCTGCCACAATGGCTTTCTTAGACTAGATTTAAATGCAGGTTTGGAGAGAGTGGAATCCAATCCTCTGATTTGCAAGGCAACACGAGTGTTAGCCAGTGGCAGCCTCTAGCATGTCGGCACATAGACCCATTCCCTTTCAGGACACACTCTTGTGTAGGAAGATAGAAGCTGCCTTTTCCCATTGGTTCATGTAGCTCAGCATTATCTACACAGGTCGGCAGCAGCCCTACCTGGCAATGTACAGGATTGAATTTAGGACTTTCTGCATATAAGGCAGTTGCTCTACCTCTGAGCTACAGTCCTTGCAGCTTTCTTACAGGTCTTTGATAACCTCCTAACTACACCACTTCTCCCTCCAAAGGTGGTTGAGAAGAAGACTTGGCTGCTTTCTTGCAACTACAATTTAGCTCCCTCCTTTCTAAGACTGGCTAGAATGGTTGGGAAGGTTGGGACTGGTTGTATCACTTCAGGGGATGAAACTGCACCTGGTGCCTGTCTCTCTCTCACACACACATCCATTTTACAATGTGTACCTATTGTGTGATCTTTGCTGGTCAAGGTTTCCCACTGTTTGCATATTCAGAGAATCAGCCACATTAGCTACAGCAATTTCCTCCATGGAAGTGACAGCTGCATAGGAAATGTGTTGCGCATGAAACATTCTTGAAACAATATCGCCCATTTGCCAAATGGGCGGGCATGGAACAGCCTTACCCACAGTCCTTTGAAACCTCTAATTTGTGTAGAACAAATAAGGATCGGTCCATAGCTCAGTGGTAGAACATCGGCCTTGCAGGCAGAAGGTCCCAGGTTCAAGCTCTGGTGCCTCCAGATAGGCCTGAGAAAAATCTGTCTGAAACACTGGAGACTTGCTGCCAGTCACTGTGGACAAGGGGGAGATAACTGTGGCCTCCTGGTTTTGGACCTCAACTCCCATCAGTCTCAGCCAGACTGATCAAGGGTCAGAGAAGATGGGAGTTGTAGTCTAACAACATCTGGAGGGCGAAAGTGTGCCGCAGGGCAACATAGACAATACGGGAGTGGATGGCTCAGTGGCCTGGCTTGGGCAAGTCAGCTTCCGTCATTCCCTGTTTGTATATCTAACTCAGGGCAGGACCCCAAGGGAGAGGCTACCACTTCCAATCGCTCCACATGCTGCCAACATGCTTCCCACCTGGATTAAATTTGGGCTTTCCAGGAAAAGTGCCCTTCAAACCTGGAAAAAAATGTGTTCCTTGTTTCAGAAACACTGTAACCAGACAGAACTTATGGCTCTGACTCCCAACAAAATTAGTCATTCTAAGAGGCCTGAAGCCCAATTACAAAACCTTTAGGAATTCTGGAACTGCTTTATATTCTGTTTTGTAAAGGTTATGTAGGGACAACCCTTATTTCAGTAATGAGTTACATTTGCATCATATGCCCCATTCATTCCAATGGTCAAGAAAATGTTTTCCTTGTACCAGAGGGGTGGGTTTCCTCCGAATTTGCCCTGAGCATGCCGAAAAAGAACAATCCCGACAGACCCGCCACACATATCAACATGACCAATGCAGCACGTTTGCTGAAGTAGGGATACTCGGATCAAATCAACATGCTGGTGTTGCTGCGTCTTGGTGAAGATTAATACCAATGTTGAGGAGGTGAAGATAAAGCTTGCAGCACCTGTTTCCCTGTGATTTAGGGTTTTTTCTTTATCTTGGAATAATCAAAGGGCTCTGCAAAGGTTATACACACACACACTCTCTCTCCCAATATGCCAAGATTTAAGACAGAGCTGTGAGCATCAGGTAAAGCTTTCTAATTGCCATGGTAGTATTTAGCTCACTCATATAAGTGGCAGCATAGTTCTGACCTGCAGAGCTATGTGAAATCTCCATCCCTAACCACCAAATGGCCATATATACAGAGAGATATATATAAGAAGAAGAAGAAGAAGAAGAAGAAGAGTTTGGATTTGATATCCCGCCTTTCACTCCCTTTTAAGGAGTCTCAAAGCGGCTAACATTCTCCTTTCCCTTCCTCCCCCACAACAAACACTCTGTGAGGTGAGTGAGGCTAGGAGACTTCAAAGAAGTGTGACTGGCCCAAGGTCACCCAGCAGCTGCATGTGGAGGCGCGGGGAAGCGAACCCGGTTCCCCAGATAACGAGACTACTGCTCTTAACCACTACACCATACTGGCTCTCAGTATTTACTGTGTTGGACGCAATTTATCTGAGAAATTTAGAATTTATTTTTATTGCATTCATCAGCACTAGTTTGAAGCATCTGAAACACACCTCATCTGTGTAAAGCATGTGCCCTGCCTATACCCAATGTCATTTAAACCCTGGCAGCATGCATGAACATAGGAAGATAAGGGATACTGAGTCAGACCATTGATCCACCTGGCTCAGTATTATCTACACTGACTGGCAGTGACTCTCCATGCCTTCTGGCAGGGTTCCTTCCCACCTAGAGATGGCGGCAATTGCTTGAACCTGGGACCTTCTGCATGCAGAACAGATGCTCTATAACTGATCCAGGAATTGGTGCAGTGCTATGTGGGCCCCAAAGCGAGCTGCACTTCCTTACTCTCATTAGCAAAAGGTGCCCAGTAAGGGCACCGATGATGATGATGATGATGATGATGATAATGTATGTCCAAAACATCTTGTAGTAGTAGTAGTAGTGATGATGATGATGATGTATGCTTTCAGTGTCCAAAGTCTTTACTTTGCCCATCCTTGCAAAGCATTATAAGAAGATAGACTATGATTAATAGTCCCATTTTACAGATGGGAGTACAGAGGCTAAAAGACTGCACTCTAGCCTAAGGCCTACACACAGGTCCTTGGCTGCAGTGGGATTTGAACCCTTGGGCAAATTCAAAATTTTGTCTACCCCATTAATTAAAAAAAACCCTAACGGGGGGACAGGACGGGACTGGAATATAAAACAGAGTCCACCCCCATTTTTAAAGGCTGCTAACTTACCATAATGGTCACAGTATTGAGGCTATGATTCTGCACACACTTATTGGGAATAAGCCCCAGTGAACTCCACGAAGCCTGCTTCTAATCTAAAGAAATATGCTTAGGGTCATACTGCTACTTTAAGAGCTCACTTCCACAAAGAAGGCAGTTGCTCCTTTCTCTGGTCGTTTTCATTTGGGAAGCAAAATAATTCTTGCTGGTCCACCATTCCGGACCTGCTCTCTGCAGATGCCCCCTGGGCTCCCCCCCCTTCCACTTGTTGGCCTAGGCCAGAGTTCAAATCCCTCTCCAGCTCCGCTGGATGCCATTGGACCAGTTCCCACCTCTGGGCACGACCTACCTGCACAGGCACAAAGTTACACCCACGGGCGCACACGCTTTCTCTGGGCGCTCCGGGGAAACCAAGGAAACCCCCACCGCCACACAGGAACGGCCGGAGACAAGAGCCCAACTTTCTTTCTGCTAAAACCATTATGCCAGTTCTGGGTTGGGGGAAGAGAGAGGGAAGGGGGGAGGGGAGACGAGCCCCCCCCTCACCCAGGAGCAAGACCCACGCCTGTACCACACGCCCCCCCCCATCTCTTACCTTCTCTGGCTTTGAGCAAGACTGTGTTGGCCACAATATTCTCCAGCTCCATAATGCTCCAGCTTGAGTGATGCTGCGGCAGGGTCGAGGGGGAAACGAGGCAGAAGGGGCAGCTGTTTTCTTCGAAGATCCTCTGCAAGGTGATTTTCCCCGCCTCCCTATTTTTTCCCCCTTTTAAAAAGAGGCCGCCAGCATCCGTGTCCTCAAGGCAGCATAGTCATTCATATATATATATTCCTTTTCCTTCCGAGGCGAAATCGAGCAGATGATTAAAATGAAAAAGAAAAAAAAAGCGTAGAGGAAATGGGGAAGGGGGAGGGGGCAGGAGTGGGCAAAGGCTGGACGAAAAGGAGCAAAGCCTTTTTTCCCCTTCCTCCTAGGAGCAACAGCCGCAATGCAATGCGATCCAGGGATCCCTTGCCTCGCGCACCGCCCCCCCGCTTGGAAGGAGGCTTTCCGGCGCCGGCAAAACCCCTCTCGGGGTCGGGTTGGGGGGGCGGAGGGGGTCAGCAGCGCTGAGGAAAAGCCCCTTCACCCCCCTCCCCAGCGCACCATGCCCAGATGGGGGGAGAAGGAAACAGGAGACGAAGAGATCCTAAATCCAGTCCTTGTGATGTGGAGGCGCAGCTCAGAGGCTCGGTGCGTCGTTTCCCCCGCAAGCAGGATTTATTTTTGTTTAAGGGGATCAGGAATCCGGGGGCCCCCACGCAAGAATCTGGGTTGGGGGGAGACGGCGAGCCAGAGCGTAGGAATCTTTCCGCCCCCCCAGCGGCAGCAGGAAATAGCGTGGACGGGAGCGCGACTGTAGCAATCTGAAACTGGCTACCAAACGTTCCACGAGGGGCGGGGCTCCGGGCCGGTGACGTCGCTCCCGCGGGGGCGGGGCAGCGATGTGTCAACGTTCTGGGACTTATGTAACCTCCTCTACCCACCTTCTTCCAAAAAAGAGAGAGAGAGCGAGAGCGCGTGCAAAAGTTTTGCGCTCCAGTGCATCCTGGGAAATGTAGTTCGCCGTCGTTAGGTTGAGCGCCGAGAGCATCCCGCATGGAGAACAGGCAGGCAGTCGCCAGGGAGGTCTCGCTAGTCAGGTGTGGGTTGCGGGGAAGGAGAAGCTCGGCACACACACACACACACGTACACACACACGTGTCTCAAATGCAGGCCCCTCTGTCTGGTCCTCAAGAGACTCCCCAGGACACATCCCGCCCCACCAGCCCTGATCCTCGCCCTCCTCAGGTGCTCTTGTCCAGCTGGAACATGTCCTTGAAACATAAAGTCTCTTGCTTGCCTGGTTGGATGGAGGGTGGAAGGAGATGGAGATGCAGTTACAGGTGGGCCTGGAGGACTGGAGACCGGGGTTGGTGGGGTAGGACCCCATTTGCCCCAATGGATCAACCTCCACCGTGTCTTCTGTTCTGATATATCACAACAATCACATTACAGTGGTACCTCGAGTTACATACGTTTCAGGTTACATACGCTTCAGGTTACAGACTCCGCTAACCCAGAAGTACCTCAGGTTAAGAACTTTGCTTCAGGATGAGAAAAGAAATCGTGCTCCGGCAGCACGGCAGCAGCAGGAGGCCCCATTAGCTAAAGTGGTGCTTCAGGTTAAGAACAGTTTCAGGTTAAGAACGGACCTCTGGTACGATTTAAGTACGTAACCAGAGGTACCACTGTATTGTATTGATTCCAGATGAAAGTTTTCCTTTTATTCTCTGCCGTCCATTGTAAAGGCCTTTGCACTAAAATTGACAGACTATAGTCTTCTTATCACCCACATTTTCCAGTCAGATGCTCCTCCTTTGCAGGGCATGATGAAGATGGTCCTTATTTTATCATTGGCTTCTGGTGCTCAGATATATTGTTCCCAGATGTGGAGGCTCATTTACATCTCTGAAGGGTAACAGTTGCTGCTTGAACTCTCCTTTTTTAATTCAGGTAGGTAGCCATGTTAGTATCTGAAGAAGTGTGCATGCACATGAAAGCTTATACCCAGAACAAACTTAGTTGGCCTCTAAGGTGCTACTGGACAATTTTAATTTTCCTCCTTTTTTAATGTATAAGACTTGACTTTTGCTAAAGCCACCTAAGTTAATAGCTTCTACTTAGCTTATTAAATTCACACACACACACCCCCAAGACTACTTCTGTATTGCCTGGAGAAAGCCATTCTCTTGTGCTGAAGCTGTTGGCAATAGTGTCAGCGGATATCTCAATCACTGGAAGAACATCACTTTTAACATCATGAGTTTTTCTTTCTCTGAATACATGGAGCTACTAGGTAAAATCTCACACAGTACAATCCAGTTCAAGTTGAGCTATTTTAAGTTCCCTTGATTTCACTGCTTATAATTCTATCCTTACAACCAGTGAGAGAATTATTAACTTGACAGAGGTTGTGCATGTAAGCTTTGCAAACTTGGAACTCTAAGCTAGTTGGCCTAATAGAAGAGTGTGAATGTATCACTCAAAAAGTTTAAATTCTATGTCTACCATGGAGAAAAGTAATTTTCAAAGCGTCTAATTACCGGTCCAGACTGGTAAGGTATGCAGATGCCTTCTTTTCCCTGTATCATCTATTCAACTAGTGCTGCTTCTGAAATGTGAAAATGGAATAGTCCAGGGTCATTAAGAGGTTCCAGCAACACTGAACAGTTACTCCAAGTTGTGACAACCTTACAAAAATCCTGTCAGAGTTCCTCTGCACAATCACATGAGTTTCTTATCTTTTTTTCGATTGCGGCAAAGCTCATTCCCCACTGCTCCATTTATCCAGGAATAAAAAGGTCCAAGAACAAAATGCCTTAGATGGATTAGATGAAGATCCACTAGTTTTTGGGTGCAAATTTGCTGATCTGCAACCACTGGCGGAGGAAGAGGAGTGCGGGGGGAGCGCACTGCCCCCGGCAGCGTGAACCTGGTGGGGTGCCATCGCAGCTGCACCCTGCCTGCGCTGGGCGACATGCCCCTATAGGCGGCGTGCCACGCCCCCAGGACGCGCACCACACCGCCCCCGGGACATGCGCCAGCTCCGTCCCCACCTGCTCTCCAGCCCCAGTGCCGGAGCATGAAGCTCCACCACTGTCTGCAGCGCCCATAACTAACTTGCGTCAAACTTTCTCCCTACAATTTGTGTGGTGTGAATGCCTTGTAAGAAAACCTGGCATTTCACTTGGGTCCTAAGCCTGAAAAATGTGCCATCTCTGTGCTCTGCCCCTGTGGTCGTAAGCAACAGTTAAGGAAGGTGCAACTTCCTGTGCTTGCGGGTGTGGTGCCTGCCTGCCCCAAGTCAGGCCTTGGCTTGTGCACATACAGACTGCCTGGAATGGCTGCCATTTGCTTCCCTCTGTGATAGGTGTAAAGTAGCAGCAGACAGAGAAGTGCACAGGACAAAAGTAGGTGTGTTTGTGATGAATGTGTCTGATCTTGCTTGTGTCACATTAGACGCAGGGCTCCACACCTTGTGCCTTTTTTAGCCAGTCTTTCTACATGTTTTCGTACACCCTGTTCCATCTCCCTCTTTCAGAAGATTGCCCCAGTTTAGACACTGGTCTCAGCACTGCCTGTGCTAAGGCCAGCTTAGCTTGAAAATGTACTTGCATTCTATGGCTATGGAGGATCATGGGTATGTTTTCTGCATTGTGGCTTCTTTCACATGCCTACACAATTGCTGGATGTGGATCACTCAGCCTTCCAATGGGTTGAAGGAGCGTCTCCACCTCCATCGTTCTGCCCGGACACTGAGGTCCAGATCCAAGGGCCTTCTGGCGGTTCCCTCGCTGCGAGAAGCCAAGCTACAGGGAACCAGGCAGAGGGCCTTCTTGGTGGTGGCGCCCGCCTTGTGGAATGCTCTCCCACCAGATGTCAAAGAGAAAAATAACTACCAAACTTTTAGAAGACTTCTGAAGGCAGCCCTGTTTAGGGAAGCTTTTAATGTTTAATAGGTTATTGTATTTTAGTGTTTTGTTGGAAGCCGCCCAGAGTGGCTGGGGAAACCCAGCCAGATGGGCGGGGTATAAGTAATAAATTATTATTATTATTGAAGCCAATGCTAGCTGTACTCAGAGAACACTCACTGAAATGAATAGGCATTGCTAACTTAGGTCCATTAATTTCATTGGGGCTATTTGTCAAGGTCCGGTCTACAGGCGATCAAAATCCTGGCTGAGGACGTCAGGACCAGGGGCAAGATGGCGGGGTGGGAGCAGGAACGAGAGTCCAGAAGCCAGGGGTCCAAGGGTCAGGAAGCAAGGAGTCACAAAGTCAAGGGTCCGAGGATCAAGAAGCAGGGAGTCAGGAAGCCGAGGTCCGAGGATCAGGAAGCAAGAAGCCAAACGCAGCAAGGCAGGAAACATGCTGACCTTATATCCCTTCCCGGCTCTTGCCACCAGGTGCAGTGAGTTACCAAGCGGCCGCACCTTGCCTCTCCAGAACAAACTTAGGAAGGCCCCAGTCCTGCGAAGCCCTATCGGTCACAGGGCCTGGCTCCAGCACGCACTCCTGACACTATTATGAGTAGGAAACAACCCATAGCTTGGCACAATAGTAAGAGGTTTGTTTGTTTGTTTTGTTTGTTTGTTTGTTTGTTTTTGTATGTGGGTCATGTTTGCATTGCTTGGGGTCAAAAATCTTTGCAAAGATCCAGCCACTCCCCAAAGTTGGTTGGTTGTTGTTGGCATCCATCTGTCCCGGGAGATAATGGAGGAGGAGTAGACCTTTGGGAGTGAAGTCAAACTGTTGGAAGGTTGCAGCAGCTGCTGTGACTGTAGAGACCCACATGGAAAAGTTGTTGGTGCACAGCAATCAAATCATGTTTGCAAATACTAAGAATGTAATGTATATGAATCACAGTACATAAAAGCCACAATTAAGGATGATTATTTTAAAAGCAGTAACATAAAGAATAGGAAAAACCAACACTCAAGCATATGGCAAAAAGGGCAATAAAATTACCATGAAAGCAAAGCACCCCTTTGGCACTTTTGCCAAAAGATCCTTGCAGTTGCTAGGGCAAGAGGAAACACTGTAAGTCACAGAAAAGTCAGTATATTTTTTCTGGGGTGGTTTTTGAGGGTAAGATTAATAAAATAAAAAGAAGAAAAATTTCCAAATCCACAGTTGGGCAATACATTTATTGGGAGCCAATGAAATGTCACAAAAGTGTGACAAGCTTTCAGGTTCTCAAGAACTCTTTGCCAAGTAAGATGATACACAAAGCAGGAAGTGGGGCAGGGAGTTGAGGTAAAAGTGGGTGGAGGGAGTTCAAGAACTAGTTCTGTTTTGTAACTGTCTCTCCAAGTTCATTTTTTGATTTTTGAGATCTTCCATCTGTAAATCTATCTTTGTGGGCAATAAGGAGTATGACAATATCAACTACCAGTCATCGCCAATGGCATAGTCTCAGAGGAGATAGCCACAAAGGCTTACATTAGCTTAAATTAACTGACTAGGAAATTCTGAAGTTGCAATTTTAATGCTGCCAAAAGGACCAGGAACGCTTTGAACTTATATCAAAAAATGTGCTTTGTACTTCAAGCCTATCTCTTGAGCTTAACATATGCATTGGGCTTGACCAAAGAATGTCCAGAGACAACAATATTGGAGTTTCTTATTGCTGGAGGTACAGCAGCAGGGATCATTTTGTGTACAACTTAAGGGTTAATTCTGTGTTAGTCAACTAGCCAAGAGAGGGAGGGGTGTGGTGTTGCTTAGCAACCAGGCAGAATGGCATGATCTTGGCTGATATAGCATATTGGGTAGTTTTGAGAGATTTTCCTTTATAGGTTTGGTTGAACGTCTCCATGCTACATACAAGGTCTGAAGTATGAAGACAAAACCCCTCTGTTCCTTTCTC